CGTTGAGTTATACTAGTTTAAAAATAGTAACTTTTAGTAATATATTTTTTCTATATCACCTCTCTGTATATATTTCATATATAAAAGATTAGCTATATAAACTAGATATAAATATTTAATAAAACCTATATATCTTCTTATTAATTTCCTCTTATATTCTATTTATTATATTACTTATTAAATAAGATTTTACTTATTTTAAAAGTTATTAAAGTGTGTTATAGAAAGAAATTCTGAATCTTTAAAGTTGCAAATATTTATTATAAATCAACGTTTGTTTATAACTATGAATAATATAATTATTATATTATTAAAGTATAGAAGTAGCTTTAGTCTACTCTTAGCAAAATTAGCTAGAAACTCTATGAAGTAAGTTAATTGTAATATAAAAAAGTTCTATTACAAATATATTAACTTCAATAACATAAAATATTTAATTCTTTAATTAGACTAAAATCTTTACTTAGAAACACGCTATACAAAACATACCTATATACCTCGGTAGTAAGAAAGGATTTATGCCCATCTATGGATAAAAAGCAGATATAGAGTCGCTAACAATCAAGTCGATCGGCAGATTGATTCGCGAACGTGCCACATTCAGGGACGTGCATGGTGTCCCGGAGCGTGATGTGACACGTTCACGATGATTATATCCTTCTGACGTGGATGGCCATGGGCCTTCCGCCGTCTCGTCACTTGTCAAGGAGAGAATCCTTTGTTATTTGTAACACCAGACCGAGATTAGAGAACTAAAGCCCCGAAACCCGTGTAACACAATGTTATAATTCGCTAGGCAAATGTTCGTAGTGACTGAGTTTTTCAACTAGTTGAAACCCAACAAATAATCCTACAGTATACATCGAATAAGATAGGCATTAATGTAAAACGTATTCTGCATTGACAACTCTATTCCGCGTAATGAAAGGTGAGTGTTTCAGAAGCTATAGACGTTCAATAACCTCTGCTCAACCCAGGCCCCTCGGTGATATGTGGCGGATAAATATTCTAGTACAGGAAATTTGTGCAGGGGTTCGAACTCAGAATTGGATGGGAAATTAAGAGAACCAACACCTTCCCAGACTTCTCCTCCCTGTAAAGTGAAATCGACGTTGGTATATTCTCGGACACTGGGGGGCGCACCAGGTATCAAGCTCGGAATCAACCGAAGATTCAGACCTGTAATTGGCGTCTTGGATTCTCCTGCATCCAGAACCAAACAAAGAGGCTTGAAATGAATATCCGCAATTACGGTATTACTAGGTCGAAGGACGCGACCGTGGATGAAAGCCGTTGGTGGTCGATTTTGCCTGTCGAACTCAATCGTCCCAAGAACCTTAGGGTTTCCTAATAACTCCCGACCGCCAATACACGCTTCCTCATTATCTAAAATGAGAAGAAATGAGTAGTTGTATTTTTTCCCCTCATACGTAACTTCAACGCAATGGATTAGCTCGTGATAGGGTCCAATGACGGAGAAGCCAAAGTCGAGGAGCATAATGGTAACAATGGGCGTTTCCTCGATTTGCAGGTTGTCGGGTATATATTGTCGAATGGAGCTTCCATCAGTGCGGTATCGGATGGTAATACAATTCACGTCGGTGAAACGGGGCCAGTGTTTTGACCATCGATACGGGGGAGCGAATATAGGCACGCCATTGTTTAAAGTCTCTGAATTGATTTGGCCCGTGATAGTCATGTTGAGGATTGAGGGAGCTGAATGTTCTTATTTTCGATTGTGGGTTCTTTCTATCTTGTTAAATATACGGAGGTTGCTGTCAAAAGTTCTTGCTAACAGGTGTTTAATAAGTACCGCCGAAAATACTACTAAATAGCACTAAACCCACTATAAATAGCTTTATTAGATTAGGTTAGAAGTTTAATAATTAGTAAAGCATACTCTTTTATTAAAGACTTAACTATATAGAGATACATTACCTAAGATATCAACTAATTTAACTAAAAGAAAGTCGGTCTAATACATCTGTCAGCAGCAACTTTTGATACTAACCTCCGTACCCGCATATACTCTATATTGTCTTATCTAGCTATGAATATAATTAGTTGTGTATGGTTACGTAGAATAACAATAATAGCCCATGTTCTAAACGAGCTTATGTTTGAAGCTGCAGTTCTCCACATCAGCTCTTAAGAGCTGATGTGCGGCCGTACCTTTCAAAAATATTGTCTGACGCTAATCTCGGCGCTTTAGCGCAACCCTTCTTGGCGCGACTTCTACCATCAAATTAAGCTGTCTGTAACGATATCACAGCTCTGATAAGTACCGGACCCAACCTAGAGCCGGATTGGAGAAAGTAGCTGCCGCTACCCTCGGCGGTCATTCGTTCTTTTAGTCGGACCCAGCTCGGATTCGACTAAGATGCGTATATATTGCGACATATCCCATGCAAGGATACAATGACGTCAAATGCAGATAAAACACGGTAGTCCTCTAGATGTAACAAGACCCTGCAAAGGTGGCATACAAAAAACTGTTGTAGAAACCTAACAGAAATCCATTTCGATTTTTACCGCACCAACGCGTGCGATAAATTTTGACCTCCTTTAGCATTAGAATAAGTTGGAATTCCTCATAAGTGTAAAGTTAGACTAGCGTCAGTAGCTCTTTCGGCTCGGCCGCTAGGCGTAACAAATCGTTTGTGTAAACTTATGTCATGTAGTTATAGATAAATTTTCTATATTACTCCGTCTAAATCAACGTGAATAACCCTTTCGGCTCGGCCGCCGAGTGTGAATAAATTGTATGTGTGTATGGGTAATTTGTTGGGACAGCAGTGTTTCTATGAGCACAGCNGAGCCATTTTAGTGAGATCTTAAACAGCTCGCGAACCCGTGTGGCACGTTACCTATCTTTAGGGTATGTAGGGTATGCAGAATCCTAGAATGTTATGCCTTTTAAGATACCACACGTTAGATATAGAGTCCGTTCCTACATACCGAAAACAACCAATCAGATCACAACGTTTAGAGGTAAGTCCATGATCCTTGTGATCCGATCGGTCGTTTTCGGTATGTAGGAACGGACCTTAACTTCAGATTTTCGGTAAGAATTTCGGCTACACGATATACTTGCAGCTTTTCACTACGCAGTTTTAATATAAAAGAGTAAAATATTTAGCATATGACTTTCATCGTCTCCTTTTCACTATCTCCTTACCTTAACTCGGCATTCTTAGAAGTGGCTTGAATCATTTCGCAGATTTGGACTCCCACAGCCCAGTAGGATTACCCAACTTTTTAGTTCAGGGTTAATTGAATTTTCTCCACTTTTGCAAGATGTACCAAAATAAGAGTCTCATCTTTAAGAATCCTCCTATTGGGTGGCCAAAACCTGATGTTGATTTCGGTGTGGAATGCCGGCCGATTGATATTAATGGGGATATTCCTCTCGGTGGCGTCATCCTAAAAAACTGCTACGTTTCTCTAGATCCGTATCAGCGTGGACGGATGCGAGCACCAACAGTCGATTCGTATTCTCCACCTTTCACGATAGGCGATCCAATGGAAGGCCATGTTATTTCAAGGGTCATCAGATCAGCATCTACCAAGTTACAGCCTGGAGATTTTGTGTCTGGAGTGGGTCCTATTCAAGAGTTTAGTGTATTGTCTGCGGGAGTTGTCGATGGCTTTACTAGAATCGAAAATCCCTACAACCTGAACCTAGAAATCTTTCTTGGGCCGCTAGGAATGCCTGGTCTAACAGCCTATTCATCATTTTATGAAATCGGGAAGCCAAAGAAAGGGGAAACCATTTTCATCTCTGCGGCTTCTGGTGCTGTCGGACAGCTAGTTGGGCAGCTCGCGAAGCGGGAGGGTCTTTACGTTATCGGCTCTGTTGGCGATGATGAGAAGGTTGAATTTATTACCAAAGGCTTGGGTTTTGACGTGGGTTTCAACTATAAAAAGGAGGTGATAGGAGAAGCATTGATGCGTGTAGCACCAGAGGGAATCGACATCTACTTCGATAACGTTGGAGGACAAACGTTGGAATCTGCCTTGTATGCTATGAGGCCTAGGGGTCGAATTGGTGAGTATCTTTTGCTTTATTTGGGCTTTCTTAAATTTTCAAATCGCTGATGTTTATGGTCTAGTCGTTAGTGGCATGATTTCTCAGTACAATCTCCAGCCTTCAGAGCTTTATGGTGTTAAAAACCTATTCATGGTTATTACAAACCGCATAACTATACAAGGTTTCATCGTCACTGATAGTGATATGGGCCCGAAATACTCGGCTGAACACCTAAAAAACGTTTCACAGTGGATCTATGATGGTAGCCTTAAACCTAAAATCCATGTTGATACTGGAATGGATCATGCTTGCCAGAGTTTTATTAATATGCTGAAGGGTAGAAAAATAGGAAAAGCAGTTCTTCAGATTGCTGATCTAAACGGGGATTAAGTTTCTAACGTGTAGAAGATAAAGAGTCTTTTAAATGGTCAATGTAAATCTATTCTTGAGTTTATATAACCATCGACAGTTAGTAGCTAGTGAATAGATTGAAAGTAGTTGCGTTTATAAATTGCTGCTGCGATTGCTAATATTTTGTCTGGTAGCCCTTTGCCTGTATTACTACCGGGATTCGTTGCGGCATACTCCGGAGTAGACTAGCTATTAGAGTAACTATCTGGTATGGCAAACCATGCCTCCCACTTCTCGGCCGAGCTGCCTATGGTATTGAACTGGGAATGGAAATCATGGAGTTTCTTCTTTAGTGCCTAACAGAGTTGCTCAATAGGGTTAAGGTCCGATAAATACGGTGGTCAGTTTATCCTCGCAACGCCGTGATCCTACAGAAAGTCTCTCGAGTGAGTAGCTGTATAGATAGGTGCGTTATCCTGCATAAACCACTCCCCAGGACTATAGTTATCCAATAGACCTTCTCCTAGCACTTGTATGTAACTCCGGGCGGTATAGCCACGTCTGCTGGCAGATGCGTCGCGGGTACGCTGGTAAATAGGTACCCCCTACCCGCGGGTAGTGTAGGGTAGAGTCGCATAGGCCTCGGGTAGGTGTAGGGTTGGGTTTTTGCTTATATAAGACCCTACAATAACACCAACCTA